CTATTCTATTCCATTCGATTCTAGTAAATTCAATTCCATTCCATTCTAGTAAATTCTGCTCTATTCTATTCTATTCCATTCGATTCTAGTAAATTCAATTCCATTCCATTCTAGTAAATTCTGCTCTATTCTATTCTATTCCATTCGATTCTAGTAAATTCAATTCCATTCCATTCTATTAAACTCTATTCCATTCTATTCTATTCTATTCTATTGCATTCCATTCTATTACCTTCCATACTATTAAATTCTATTATATTCAATTCTATTAAATTATATTCCATTCTATTCTAGTCAATTCTATTCCATTCCATTCTATTAAATTCTATTCCATTCCATTCTATTAAATTCAGTTCTATTCCATTCTATTCTATTCCATTCCATTCTATTCTCTTCTCTTCTATTCTATTCTATTCCATTCTAGTAAATTCTATCCCATTTCATTCTGGTAAATACTATTCCATTCCATTCCATTCTATTCTATTCCATTCAATTCTAGTAAATTAAATTCCATTCCATTCTAGTAAATTCTATTCTATTCTATTCTATTCTATTCTATTCTATTCTATTCTATTCTATCCCATTCCATTCTAGTAAATACTATTCCATTCCATTCTATTAAATTCTATTCCATTCCATTCCATTCTATTCTATTTTATTCTATTCTATTGCCATTGAGTCGATGCAATCAACTGGTGAACTTTGAATCAATCTTGAGATGACTTGTTGTGAATTTGCGCTATATAAATAGACTGAATTGAATTATTCTATTCTATTCTATTCTATTCTATTCTATTCTATTTTATTATATTATATTATATTATATTATATTATATTATATTATATTATATTATATTATATTATATTATATAGTTTGATTTTAGCATCATCCCACACAGAGATGATGGCTCTTAAAATTTGACCCAACCCGTCCAGCTATCACAGCCAACAAGACTTTGCTCACCTTTCATCAAAGCTGAGGTTGCGGTCTGTAAACTGCTCCAGCAGCGTCCTCTCAATGACACGCTTGGGCGCCTTGTTTTGAAAGAAGTAGACCAGAGCATGCTGCAGACGGGCATCCTCCTGGGGCGTGATCTCCTCCTGGGAGAGTTCATACAGGCGGGAATACTCCTCATGAAAGGCCTGCAACAACAGCAGTTAGCATGTAAGTCAATGTGTATAGAGGCAGAGAAAAACTAGCAACATTAGAGGAGATTTTGCATTATGTAAAGCAAACTGACTAAAGTGATAGATGCAGGGATTTGACATATTAAAGATTTGAATATGCCTTCAGAAAATTTGACATTTTCTGTTAAGAATTTGAAACACTTATTATATTTAAAGCTGATTTAAGTGTGCATAAATTCAAGAAACAACAAAACCGTCATGAGAAATGTTTGTACTCTGAGTAGGCTTTACACTATCCCATACATGTTGTGATTTTTCAGAGTTAACCCGAAACATAACGATCTTAAAAATCTGCTTGTCTTACCCTGATGAGGCCAGCCTCAGGGCCCTCTTTGTCGAACGTCTGTCTGGCCTTGGCTATGGCCAGGATGACACCTTGCATAGCTGGAGTGAGCATCATCTAGGAAACGACACATTGAGGAAAACAAAGACAGGAAATTTCACACAGAGCAACAAACAGTGCACACACAAAGTGAGAAAGCAGATGATTTGTTTTACCTTTTTTTTGTCTTAAACTGTGTCTAAATGTGTTTAAATTTAATGATATTAAAGTAAAACTAATTGGGAAAAACACTGAGCCTTTTTATGGCAGCAGTTCCTTATCCTGACCATTAATGTGTCAATTGTGAAAAAGAAAACTCACCTTTAAAGAACCGTGTTCAGTGTGACTAAATATCTAGATATCTGGGGTGTGACAAGACGGAGCAAACATACGCAGTGAGAACATAAAGCAATGATCTAGAGCGTATTTTTTATGCGATAGAAAAAGAAAATCAAAGCCATAGTTACCTAAAATCACTGCAAAAAAGTTACTACCATTTTATCATCACTTTTAATGTCACACACTAACTAACACAAAATGAATAGCCCTTTTCTGACAGTACTTTGCACCTTATATAGTGGTTTTAAATAACCAATCAAAGATAATAAGGAATAAACTCTTAAACTGATATAACAGCTGCAGTTTTTCCAGCGAGCCTTTCATGGTATAACCACTGATCTGTATTTACTCACTGAATTGCTGATAGCTTCTTGGTAGCACAGGGTGCTGCGAAGTCACCAGCCGCCATATTGGTACTCCCTAATTAGACTGGTTGGATTGTAAACAATACGTGCAGGGGGCTTAAGACTTTTAAAATAAACATAAAGTCATCACTTTGACACACTTGCTGTTTCCTAGTATCAGCAGATTACTGTAATATATGGTAAAATATAGAAAGTAAACATTGCATTTTCAGCATGAAGTCAATGAAGTCTATAAATCATGTAGTATAACATATTATACAAATCTATAACAACAAAATTAGTGTGTTAATGGAGCATTCACATTCTCATAATCTGCTAAAACTGATAAATTGATGATGTACATTAAATATACATGTACTAATTACATTGTTATGCTAGTTACACCACATTAAAGGCATTTTTATGGCGCGATTCAGTGGGAATGGGGAGTACCAAGATGGCGGCAGTTACTTTGGTTTTTTTCTGTCTATCAGCAATCCAGTGAGTAAATAGAGAATTACTATTGAAAGAACCAACAATTTTCTTTCAGATTTGTTTTTCCTGTTATTAAGTTGGAAAAGGTTCCTTCTTGTTAAAAGGGAGTTTTTCCTCTCCACTGTCGCTACAAGCATGCTTAGTGCGAGGGATTGCTGAAGAGTCAATGAGTCGATGCAATCAACTGGTTTTGCTTAGATAGAAAACTTTGAATCAATTTGACTGGATGATCTGGTGAACTGGAAAGTGACCTGAGATGACTTTTGTTGTGAATTGTCACTATAGAAATAAACTGAATTGAATTGAAAACTAGGTGGGATTTTCTATTTTTTCTGTAATCTTCCGTATATATTTACATCCCAAATAAGATAATTTATCCATTCTTGTTTTGATAATGTTTAGATATTATTCTCTTGTTGTCCTTTAAAAATTTCATTACATTTCCTACTGTAGATAATGGTCAAAAATGATAAGTTGTCGTTTCTCAAAGCTTAGGGTTAGTCAGTTAAAGAGTTTTTATTTAGCTGGAGACAAAAGTAACTGTTAAACTGAACTTGACTGCTTTATTTATTAACAGTAAATACTCCATTTTAAGTCTGTCATAATATTCAAACAGAGACAACAGTTTGTCCATTTGGTATGAATAAACCGAATTGAACTGAAAATAAAAAATGATTGTTGGAATTAAATTTTTTTGGTAACATCTGCAAACTTCTAACTTGCTATTTTGAACTGTGCATAATTCTATCTACATTAATAATAACCTCCTGAGACCCAGAGAAAAAAAAGTTTTTGAATTTCTTTTTTTTCTACACTACATGACTGGAGTGAAAAAAACATCACTACAATTGAAAAAAGTTGAAAACATGTTTTTATTTATTTTTTAGAGTATATCCTTTGGAGAGGACATCGGGACTCTCTTGTGGCAAATATGAACACATTTCGAGGCATACATTTTCCTCTGAACTCTGACAATCTGACATCATTTAAGCCAGTGGTTCAGATTTCCAGGCACCTCATTCAACTTATCATAAGCAAGCTGATTTGTGTAGTTTAATCAGATGTGTTCGTTCTGTTTTGGTTTGTGGTAGTCAGTAAAGCAGTTCTTCTTCTTTGAGATGCAGAGGTATATGTTGCATTTGATGCACTTTATGTAGGTTTTTCCAGTGCACCCTTCTGCTCTGCACCTGGAAGTATTAGGATTGTCCATCATCTGTGGAAAATGGACAGCTCCATACTTTCTCACTTCCTTATCTGGCTACCCAGACCCAGTTCAATTATGAGGAGAAAAAAAACCCACAGCATGATGCTGCCATCACCATTTTTCAATTAGGTCTTGGAATGGGCAAAATTACCTGGGATACAAATGTTTCATGTGGTCATACCAGAGCATAGAGATATCAAAGTTAGGAATAGTTTTGAATTTATTAATTATGGCTTATGTTTTTATTTAGCAATGACCTTTGAATGTTTTTTGGTAATCTACTTTTTGCAACATTAATCCAACCTTCCAATGTATCTTCTCCCATCCTTAGTAGGTGTGAGTAGATACTGAGGCATTAATGCATTCATTTTAAAATTTATTCATCACTTTTTGAGTTTACATAGGTAACTATGAGGTATGAGATCATTTTGTCTGAACCCTTCCTTACCTCCTCATTGTATCCATCAGCATCCGCCCTCACCATGATCCTCCCCACATTGGGGATCTCCACCTCTGACACTTCATTCTCAGCCTGCCTCTGCCTGGCTGGGGCCTCCTCCTGCTCCCGGTGTCGCCCCTCGTTTTCCGGATCTGCTTCCAGTCCAGCAGCCTCACCAGATGCTCCCGGTTCATCATTTGTCTCAGAGCTCAGTCCTGCCACCTCCGCGTGCACGTGGAGTCCAGACGGTTCCTGATTACTAACCTCTGCATCGGAGCCAGAGGTCTAAAAAAAGGAAGTGAACAAAATTCGATTTAAAAAACATATGACAAGTATATTTAAGCAAGTGAGTTTCACGGCAGATATCTAAAAACATCTAAACTGCATCTAAATTTCTATTATATTCACTACAATTCAATATGGTTTATTTCAACAGAGCTAATTCACAACAAAAATAATCTTTACAATCAAATTAAAAAACAGATTGGATAAATGTTTTCTATCTAAGGAAACCCAGATGATTGCATCTAGTAAATGACTTTGCAGGATCCGCTCCTCCTGGAGAAGCATGTGGTGACAGCAGCCTGTCTAAACTCAAAACGACCTTTAATGTGTCGGTCATATACAAAACCAATGAAGAAGACCCTTGCCTCAGATACTTGCTCTGTGACCCAGAACTTTTAACCCACTTTCCAGTGTGATAGAATATCAGGAGGAGGGTTATAGACTGAAGGACTTCCCCACCTGACTCTGCAGCTCAGCTGACTTTGGGCTTGATTCCAGGGTGTCGCTGACTGCAGGGGTGTCAGTTGCATCTGCTCGGCATTCTGGACTTGCAGATGGGGGCAAAATCTCAGGAGCCTCTGCTGTTCAATAGGATGTGAAGAGGGCTGGATTTATTATGCATGTATGTATTATTAGTTTTGTAAAATAAGTATGTTTCATTTCATTATTTATATAAATAGAATCAGTTAGTCAAGCCCACATGGCTCTATGGAAACAAATTGTTAGAACTGGTTGTTCCAGCCCAGAAAAACCTTTACATGTTTTTAATAGCTGGTTATGAGTTGCTTCCATCCCCATGGAGGAAGTTTGGTCTACTATTTTTGGAAGAATATTTTTGGATGTTCTGAAGCAGCAAAGCAGCCTTCCATCACTCCACCACTACCATGTTTAACTGTAGATATGATATTCTGTAGAGCATGGGTCTTCAACGTTTTCCAGGACAAGGACCCCCAAACTGATGGTGAGATGGAGCGGGGACCCCTAATTATATATATTGAATGAAATTGTGTTATATCCAACTGGTCCTATTGTCACTCTATTACATATAAAGTCATTTAACGGAAGTAATTTCTCCTTGGGGTTATTAAAGTATTTCTGATTCTGATTCCTGGTTGATGGGTTAGGTGTTGTGAATGAAACGGTGCCCAGCTTAAAAGAGCTCCTGTGTATCGCTGAATGCGTGCATTGATGAATGAAAGACATCTTCCGCCTCCATTTATCTGTTTAATACAGTGTGTTTAATTCATGTTTATGTGGATTTAAAGACTTTTCAATAAGTGGAAAAATTGCAGGGGGGAATATTAAAAAAAGAGTGTTATCAACCAAAACTTTTGCGACCATCATGCAGTACCTCCGTGGACCCCCTAGTGGTCACGGACCCCCTGTTGAAGACCTACGCTGTAGAGTATATAAAATCATACCTATAGATAGTGTCTAATTAAGTGATTGAAGAGTGTATGTTATATAACCTCTCTTAGCACAACAGGCTTAAAAGTGGTTGCCATGACCCAGATGGCTGAGAATTTGCACAGAATCACATCCAGGGGTGGATTTAGGAAATTTGGGGCCCTAGGCAAATACAGGTATAGGACCCTCTGGATTGAGAAGACAACACATAAAACAGATACAGGAATTTTAATAGAATAGACATCCATTATTTATTCTACCTATTGTCCCTCACTAAAATGGCGACAGCAAAAGTAAATAACCCAGTCCTTCTTTTCACTGTAGACAAGCCATGATCTGCTTATCTGTTCTCCATTTTTCATTTGGATGAAATAAAAGCTGGAAGTAAATATGCGGCCATCTCCATTTCTCAGTTCTTCATTAGAAAGGACACGCAAAAGCTTGATGTTTTCCACTTCAACATGAGAGGAAAAAACAAGACAAGACAAAAAAAACCCTACCTAAATAATTGATTTCTGGTCGTCTGTAGCAAATACAAACAAAATTCAAACTTAATTTTAAGATGACCTATCTTCAATATTGTAAATATGATATAATGTTTAATAATTGTTAATCTCTTACTCAACGGGTGTCAAATTTGAAGCTGAGTTTGCTGCGGCAGGGGTATTACCGCCGCAGTAAAGAAGCCGCAGTCACTTTGGATAACTTTGAGAGCAGCTTTCTACTTTCCTCCTTCTTTTTCCTCTTTTTAGCACTGATAGGGTAGCTTCTTTTTGTTAGGAATCCAGTGTGTGTGGGCTGTGTTTGTTTTTTTGTGTTCTCTCCCTCCACCACCGGGTGGCGCCCTGTTGTCGTTGGTCCTCCCACACACCTGCGGCTGGTTGTGCTCATTACTGAGGACTCTTAAGCGGTGTACTGCCGCTGCCTCGACGCCAGAGTGTTTGCCAGTTTTGGGTACTCTAGCCAAGCCGAGTTTTGCTGAGTCTAACCTTGTTTTTTGTCTTTGCCTTTTTGGCAGGAAGTCATCCTGCAAACTGGATGTTTTGGCCTTCTCCCCCTGGAAGGATTGTTTTGAGCTTCACACTGAGCAGGGGATTAATCTCCATACGACCCGTTCAAGTTCTCCTGGAAATCGAAGTGGCAGTCCGCTCCATTGCTCCTCAAGGAACCAACCAAACCAAAAACCTGTCCGCTCTCCAACTAGCCCCCCAATCTCCGGATAACCCCCCCGACTGGATTCTGGGAAGAGAGCCTTTTTCTACTAACTTGAGTCCCGTTCATCTCTGATTTTTGCAAGACGTTGTTCAAAGTTCCCACTGACCCTGAATTTACTTCTGAACTACCCTTCTCATTTCCAGTTCTGGTGCACCAGCTCTCTGAGTTACCCTGGATCAACCTGATTTATTATTTCAATAAACCTGTTAAACTTTTCCTCTGGTTCTCTGAGTGGTTTCCTGCATGTGGGTCAGATCTCTTAAAAACAAGTAATAGCTGTATTAAACCTATATGTGAAAGGAGTTTTATGGGGCCTAATGGTAAATCCGCCCCTGATCACTTGATTTAACTTGTATAATTTGTGTCCGTTGCATACCTTCAGACGTCGCCCTTGCATCACAGTCTGCAGCTTTCTCCTCTTCTGCGCCTGACTGTGGCCCTAAAACGGCTCCTTGGTCCAGCTCTTCAGTGGAAGGTCCAGACTGTGGTGCCGGCTCCACAGGTGTTTGCTGTGTTTTCTCCACAGAGGAGCTCGGAGGCTCCGCCGCGGTGGCAGACTCTTCCTGTGGGGTGGCAGTCTGGCAGAACTGCTCTTCCCATTCGCTGAGCTCTCGCTGGAACCATCGGTTATCTTCCTGAACGAAGCGTCTGAGGGCGGCCGGCAGCGAATCCATGCCATGAAGTACCTGGCCTGTCTCATCATCTGTGTCTTCTGGGTGGATGGCACACATGGTTAGGTCAAAGGTTCCCTCAACAAACCCTACACAACACCTAAACAACATCTAAACTTGAAATGAAAGTCTTGATTATTTTTTTCAGATATTATAATCCTATAATGTAAACCAGTAAGGAACTTTCTAAGAAGATATATAGAAACAAATAAATTTTTTAGATCTGAAAAAAAAGAAAAAAAATTGTAAACATGAATTAAAAACCAATGAACAAGAATGATGTCAGGTTTCTGTTTCTGTTATGTTTTTCTTTTGAGTATTCAGTCTTTCTTTATTCCTTGTTTTCTAGTGTTTAGTTTTCTTTTCTCCATGTTTTATAGTCCTAGTTATTTGATTATCATTTTGTTGTTATTTCCAGTCTTCCAGGTTTCTATTTGTTGCTCTCTGCTGCCCTCTTGTGTTCTCCTTCTTCCCTAGCTCTTTCCCTCTCTTGTTCTTTGCACACCTGCTCCCAGTTTCCTCATTAGCCCCCTCTTTGCCTGAGTCTCCTTTAAAAGGCCCTCTCTCTTCAGTTCCCCTTTGCTGGGTCCTCGTCAAACATGCTCCAACTCCTTCTCTCTGTGCCCTCCTCCTTATGAATGTGATTCCCCTGTTGTCTCCATGGTTTCTGGTACGTTTAGACTAGTTTTCATGTTTTTGATTTTTTGATTTTTGGACTCCTGGTTTCATGTTTGTTTGGACTTTGTTTTTTTTTGGATTTTTGGATAACCTGCCTCTTTTTTCTGTTAAGTCATTATTAAATCCACAAGAGATTCACCTCTGCCTCGCTGCCTCTGCTTTTGTGTCAACTGACCATAGCCTAATCGTGACAAATGAATTACTACATAATATGGAAAAGTATGCCAATTTAATTACACCGATCTCAACCTTTGAGCTGTAAATCAATAAATATAGTTTATTTTGTACACATTAACATCATCTCAAAAAAATTAAATCCTATCAAATTGTACCTAAATTAATGCTTAATAACGTAACTTTATAAAAATACATGTTAAACTTCATATGTCCCAAAGCCATTGATGACTATGAGACACTGGGTAGTTATATTATATTTAGAAGGTTGTTGATGCATCAACATGGAGGAGCTGCTCTACCATATTTAAAAATAAATACAGAAATAAATAAATTCTCCATGAATAAATAAGCATCCAATTAATTGCCCCCAAAAATACAATAAACAAATAAATGTAGGTAGAAATTAAATTATAGTGAGACATAAATGTATATTTCTCTTTTAATTAGCTTCTTTATTTATTCACCTTTGTAATAATTACCTTATTTATTTATAAATTAATTACATATTTTTTAAGTATTTATCTATGTGCATGTTATAATATTTTTGTTGCTTTATTCTGCCTTTGTATTTTTTTATCCTATTTATTTCTGCATGTCGTTTTTACATTTCTGTTTGCATTTCTGCCTCATTATGCAAATGAGGAACGGTGTGTCTTAGAGGGTCATCTTAAATCAACAGTGTCTATATGTAAATATGATTGGAGGAATTAAATTGATGTATCCATCAGTGTTTTAAATAAAATCAGAACTAATGATTTTTGGTTTAAGTGAGGCCATTTGTGTACCTGTGATCAGCTGAGGTAGTCTGTCATCAATGTACATCAGGCAGTATGCGCTGGCGTTGGTCATCCCACCAAAAGAGTCTCTTTCAAGCTCCTCCCACGAAGACTCTGTAATGCTGACGTCGTTGTACTTCATCCAGCGCTGGTTAGCGTGGTCATAGATGTAAGCCCAGTAATGACCTGCTGATGCCTGACCTTCATGAACAAGCACTGCGTGTAGTCTGTAAGGCACCTGTTGAAAATAGCATTTCTTTCAGTTAGAAGACATTATTCTACAACCAGTGTTTGACACATTACAACCACAGACTTTATGTTTTTTTTTTTTTTTTTTTTTTGGGGGGGGGGGGGGGGGGGGGGGTATGTAAATAAGGATAATGTTTGGTTTTCCAAGTAAGTTAAAAAAAATAATCTAGTCCTTGAGCAGTGGCGGCTCTAGACCAAATGTACCAGGGGGGCAGGAGGGGGCCAGCGTGTTTTCATGGGGGCACGGAAAAGCATGAAATAAAAAAAACAGGCCAAGGGATACAAATAAATTCAGATAGCTGCATGAAGTGAAATTTCTATTCAATTAGGTTTCATTAAAATTCTAAATGTTCTAAGGTCAATACTGGAAAAAATCCAAATCTAGATAAGTTATTTTTTCTTAAAATAAGTGCATTTGTTCTTGGATTGAGGAGGTAAAAGAGACATTTTGCCAATGGAACAAGACAATTTACACTTAAAATAAGACAATGCAATTGCCTTGTCTTATTTCAAGTGCATTTTATCTAAATATCTTATTTTAAGAGTAAAAATACTCATTCCATTGGCAAAACACCTCATTTACCTACTCAAAATAAGGGTAAATACACTAAATTTAAGAAAAGTTTACTTATTTCTAGATCGTTTTTCCAGTGTATACATTCAGAATTTAGGATTTTTACTTTTTTTTAAAACTTAATTTAAGTCGAAATGACAGTTTTCTATAAAATCTGAATTAGAATTTAAGAAAAACTGTTAAAATTAGCTATAAAAAGTAGAGTATTTTTTTTTTACATTTGTTTTGGAAAAAAACATTTAGCAGATGAAAACTGGGATCCTATCTCAATACCACTTATGCTATGTTTTTAAACAGTTAATAAAACAGAATTTGTAAAGAAAAAAATAAAATAGATCCAAAGGATCTATCAGTAACCCTTTCTGTTTCTGCACATATCATCATTAGAATTTCTTTGAGTATTATGTCTTCAGTACAGGGGACATAACAGGGGCCAGGACATGATCTACAGGGGCCCTGGCCCCCGTTGGCCCCTGTCTAGAACCGCCCGTGTCCTTGAGCACACTGAAAACAAAATTAAACCAATCACAGCAGCTCTTTGGATGCTTTCTCCTGGGTTAGACAGTGATCGGTGTAACTGGGGATTCAGTGGGCTCAACCCTTGAGTAACCAGAAGGGGGACGGAAATTAGTTTTGTAAAGCAAAAATAAAATGCAATTTCAAAAAGGAAATTTAAAATGCAAGTTGGAAATGGATTAAGGGAGGGGTCTTCAACGTTTTCCAGGCCAAGGACCCCCAAACCCATGGCGAGATGGAGCGGGGATCCCCTAATTTTATATATATATATATATGGTAAGAAACGTTAAATCAAACTGGTCCTATAGTCACTCTATTAAAGATTATGTCATGTAATGAAAGAAATTTCAATTAGTGGAAAAAATTGCAGGGGGAATTATAAAAAAAAAAGTCTAATCAACCAAACCTTTTTAAATGTGTGTTTAGGAAAGCTATTTATAATCAGATTTATTAATTTTGGTTTTTAAAATTCCATTAAGAAAAAGATTTAGTCCTTGACTTTGGGCCTATCTGACTCATTACTATATTTTGATCTATTCCAAAAAAAGTAAAATAAAAACAAAACACTAGACTTTGTTTTCCAAGTTTGAAAACTTGAAAAACAAAGTCGGTTTGTTTTTTTTTTACTTTTTTTCTTTAAATAAATGATGAGAATCTTCACCAGCATATTTTGGTACAAAACATCTAATTGTAGCTTTGGATGTATTTATTTAGTGTCTCTAACATATTATCTAACCTGGATTTTTCTGTATTTAGCTTTACTCCTTAAACTGTGGTTCCTTGTCTCCTCTGAAAAGAAGCAACCTCCTAATGCTGCCACTACCATGCTTTACTCAAGTAATAAGGTATGAAGGAAATTCTCTATTGTAGATGTAAAATTTTAAAGACATCTGAGCAGATCCCCTCTCCCACATGTTTGCTGAATCCTTTTGATAGCTTTGGCAAACTTCAGATTGACTTTTTACGGCTTTCCAGGTACCACCCTTCTTGAATGCTAACAAATATCCTGTAAACCGATTGTCCCTTTATAGCCGCGAATCAGATAGGTGTTAAAAAGTTAAGGTGGTGGAAACCTTTTGCAAACCAAAGCTTTTGAAAGCAGAACTTCAGTGAAAAGTAAAGTCTTACCTGGCAGAGACTGTTGTCAGAGTACATGCCCTCCAGTGTCTGTGTGAGCTTGTCTATGCTGGTCTTTAGCTCTGTTGCACAAAAATAACACACAGTGAAAACAGGATCTACAAATTTATACCTCTGAAAAAACAAACAAACAAGAATTTCTGCTTAAACCTTTGAATACATGAAGAGCTAAAAATATACAATCATCCCTCTTTACAGAAAGTGAAACTCAGAAATCATAAAGATTCATTACATGCAGTCTTGCTTGACATTTTACATACCCCCCCTCCATGAAAGAAAATGACCAATTCACTCTAGGAATTAAAATAACACAAAACTGGAAAAAGTAATACAAAATAAAAATTTGCTAAAATATATTTCAGTAAAATCTAATATTGATTTGGAATTCTTGTTTAAAAAAACAAAAACTGTCTCAGAAAAATTAAAGCAACTTGCTCATGATCAGTGAACCAACATGCAACCAGTCAACAGCTGCAGAAATCATGAACATTTCCTGGACAT